CGGTCGGAAAGGTCTGTCTAGACCACCCATACATTTTGTATGAAATATACGCTTTTTGATGAATGTAGACCAGTATTTTGTCTTTTTTCTGGTATTTTCTATTCAAACTGCATTCTATATATTTTTTGCTATGTGTTGTAACATGAATGTTAGTATTTTCATGACGAGAGTTCCTTGAAAACCTACCAAACTTATTGGTAATCGCGAACACTGAAAATCGGATGAGTAATGCACACATTATCAACAATTTTTCTACCCGTACTGCGTTCGAATTTTTTTTTCTGGCAAACCTGTAGTGAAATTATATTTTCACTTTGAGTTTTACAGCTCATTTCAAAGGCGACGCACCTCATTTCGTTTTCATTTGAATTTCACATTCATTTCGAAGGCGCCGAAAAAGAATAAATATTGTTTTTCATTGATATAAAACAGAAAAATTAACAAACAAAGCAACCATTATTTTATATTTCTTGATTTTTTTATATAATATAATATGTAATATTTTTATTATAAGCATGCTCAACACATGCAAAAGACGGTAAGAAAAAGAAAAAATTAAAACTATAAATAATAATAATCGTTAATATATAAGACAATAAAAACTCATTTTTCCACATAAATGCATGTAAAATGAATGGTGGTCCAGCCAGAGCTTTCCGACCGTTCGAAGGTGAAAAAATATCCGATCGACGGAGGGTTAAATACGTCTATCAAGTTATTTAGTAAAAGCATCTGTTTAACAGAAACTACTTACTGATACCTGCATTGTTCATACCAAAAATTATAGATACATTAGTTTAGCATCAGCAAGGCAACAGAAACCTTTCAACTATGGCTATGAATAATTCCTTCGATGGCCTTTCTACTAGATCGAAATACTTTGGTAATGAAATAAATAAATAGTGCGAGATAAGTTAGGTTAACGAACTTCATATAACCGGTTCGATTTTTAGAACAAAGGATCTAAACAATATACGTCGCTCTTAGGTAAATATTTTCAGTGGGTTAATTTTACGGAAAAGCATATCGAACAATATTTTGAATTTGCTATTGTTCTCATAATCATATAAAATTCCATGCAATATATTGTTCCACTGGTACGCCAATATGTAAGTCGTAAACAAGCGCGAGTTGTTTGGGTTCCCCAGCGCGCACCATATGCATGCATTTAATATTTCATATCAGATATTTTTACCATCTTTATTTTTTACATTTTGCTTGAATTTATATCAATGCACTACAATCTTAACCAATTCTGTTAGAGTAAAGAAAAGTAATGAAACCTGTAACTATTATAAATCTGATGCACATGCATGCATTTAATATTTCATATCAGATATTTCTACCATCTTTATTTTTTACATTTTGCTTGAATTTATATCAATGCACTGCAACCTTAACCAATTTTGTTAATGTAAGAAAAAGTAATGTAACCTGTAACTATTATAAATCTGATAATAAGCAATTATCAGAGTGCAAAGAAGTAAACTAGATTTTAAAATACAAATTATAAATAAATTTAGATTAAAAAATATAATGAAAATAAGTCCTTCACAGTCGTGATGGAGGTTTGCCAATAAGAAAATTTTTCCATGAATTTTTCCTGTCATTGCTTGAGCACGGTTCTATGAACCGTAGTCGTTTAGGGAACGAATAATATTTGATTGGTCTTACATCCCAAGAAAAAAAGTATCTAAACAAGTAACATGTGGAGCATTTTCAGAATTGTATTGGAAAAACGAATGATAAAAAAGCAATTTATTTCAAAATATAATATTTTCGATGCGCTTTTGATGTCATACACAAGCGTTCGTAAAACTAACTTGCCACATTTGAAAAAGTTACCCCATTGACAACACGTGCCACGAGAATGAATCGAGCCAGAATTTGTGGATCTGAATAGTTGCAATACATATGAGGTCTGATGACACATGTCAATATTTCATTTCATATTTTTCTCCTTTCTTTTGAAAGATAGCATAGTGGACAAGGATCGATTCTACTTAGGTAAGTTACCGTTCATATCGACGAAGGCGGCATATCGGAACAAAAACTTACATAGATCAGTACACCTACTGCCATAATGTCAAATAAAATTCCACCAGGTATACTCACAATCAGATATGGTCAGAAGTATAAAAACAGGCTGACTGAACAAACGAATGCAAGAGGATAGTTATTAGATCAAGCTCATAACAGAAGTATTAATAAAAATCCTTATAATTTATTTTTAGTAGCCTAATAAGAAAAAAATCTGTGTATACCTCAATTCTTTCTTTTATTGTACTATTATCACTGTCTAGCAGTACTGGGACGAAGCTGTTTCAACTTTAGATTTTTAAATATATTCTCACTTCATAAATAATTGAGTATAGATAATCAAGAAATGAAAAAATAACAAAGAAAATATGCAAGCAACATATAAATATGAAGTCCTGAATAAAATAGAGAAATTGTCACCAAAAAATGTGTATTTCGATCAACAATCCGTAAAGCTGGATAAAGTTTCAGAACTTTATAATAGTACTGGCAACTCTTTAGTTCAGAACGAAAGCTTACGTACCCACTCGCATGAATCACAAACTCATCTCCATTTTGTAATTGTAATTGAAAACAAGTTGCTACAAAATCTAAATTTATTGACAAATTACTCATTGGTTGTTAATAAAACTGTTGATCATAAGAATATAAGTAAATAATAATCGATTTAAGGGATGGACTAATTTTTATGTTTTATTAGTGATCAATAGGTTCTATTGGTAACACTGTGCGACATTAATTTTTTTCCCTGAGTTGTTATGATGGTTTTAAAATAATTCGAAGCCGCTGATTTTGAAAACGGTAACAGAAATTTGCTAACAGCTCTAGTTTTTAAGATATGCAAATATACTAGTTTTACTTCAAATTACAATAAAAAATACATGTTTCATTTTATGCCTTCAAAAATCATTATGATTTTCGAACGTGGACAAGATCTAACTGATTTCGTCATAAGCTCCAATAATTGTGAGCCATGTGGATGTTCCATCTTATTTGATATCGCTCCTGCAATGTCCTCAGGACTCTCGCCTGCTCTTAGCTAATATCTCCGAGATTTTCCAAAAACTGCTATGAATAAGAGTGCGAGTAATGAATTCAAATCAATTACATCAAATATATCAGTTTTTAATTCTTCCTGTTTTCTTGTTTAACGTTGGTTTCTACATCCATTACATGGTAATGGATAGGCAAGAGATGTTGATGTTCTAAGTTGTTCATCATTAGCATGGATAAGATTCGTGTAGGTGATCGTAAGTAGACTGGACTGGACCTCAAAAACATTGGGGTTGTAGTTTATGACTATTTGCTTCTATTGCCTGAACTTATTTCATTGGTATTTACCACACAGAAGAAACAACCGTCATGGCGATTCTGAGATTTTTTGTAAATGACGGGGGTATTAAAATTATATCATTTCTTTTTTCTTCTGGATAATAACGTAAATATACTACGCATTCACTTACGAATACTACGAATACTACGAATTCACTTATTATAAGTATGAAAAAACCATGTTTTATCTTCATTGCGCAATTCAGTTTTAAAGTGGTTGAAATACGATGTCGTTACTCAGTTTGACATAGGTTTCCGGTATTTGTCGAAGACATATTAACCACAGATGTAACAAAAACTACTCGAATTATGCACACAACGAAGCCATACCAAAAACAGCAGAATAAAACTCTTAAAAACACGTTAAACTGCAATAATCATAGACAAAATTACTAATTGGGGTAGTTCCTTAAAACTCAAAAACTAGAGCTGTTACGGAAAAATTGAATATTTGAAATCAGCGTGCAATTTTAAGTCGATTTAGAAAAAAGTTCAAGTAACAAAATAAATAATAACTAGTGGTGTATGGCATCGTGCCTTAAGGAAAATTGCTGGAACTTTCCGAGATATTCGAGAAATTTTAAACGTTTTCAAATATATTATTACAAATACTGTAACTTTCATTATTTTTGCTATCTTATTATATCTGAGCAAATCAAATGTAAATCGTAGATCAATTTATCTCCAGAACATTAATAATCGTCATTATATTTCGAATTCAATATCAAAAAAGAAAAAAAATAGTTGCCTAATTTACACAAAATTGAAAAAGTGCTCCCGTATAGTCACAGTCTAAACGCATTTGCAAATAATTCTGTGCGACATTTTTACTTACACTGTGTTTAGCTTGGCGGCATTTTCACATTTTTTAATAGTTTTCACAAAATTGGAAAAGTGCTCCAGTACATAAACAGTCTTGAGTAAACGCACTTGAGTAAACATTTGCACCAGAGTGGTGCTTAGACTGTGTTTAGCCTGGGTAATTTTTTGAATTTTTAATCGAAAATTACAAAAATATTTTTTGCAAAATAAAATTAGAAAGAAAAATTTTTTTTCCAAAAGCAATTATTTTGTTAAAACAAGCAGAAAGTTCTTTGAATCATTTAAATCGGACGCTTAGTTCTCTCAAAAACTGTCATTTTTTTTAACATTTAGCTCTGTGTCTCCAAAACCGCTGGGCCTACCTTTGCCAAAAACTAATAATCACTTAATTAAATTATAATGCAGACTAACAAAACACACACACACATCGATTTTTTCTGAGGTATGGCAAAATGTTCAAAAGCCTCTGAAACGTGAAGAAATGCAAAAATTTTCATTTTCGATTTTCGGCCCTACGGAAAGTTAATAATAAAAAATTAAAGTGCCATTTTTGTCGCGCAGTATAATTATTTAACCGTGGCTTAAATAAGTGGATAATCACATTATGAAATTAATATTTTTATAGCGCATTCGATATGTAGATATAGATATTAATCGTAAATTCAAAACTATATTTGTTGCAGCTGGATTGTTTATTTCTAGCATACATACAAAATAGAAGTACATTAAATTATACAGCATGAATATAACATTCATATTTACGCGGGCAACAAAACGGTGTGGGTTGTATTTTGTTCTGTACCAACCTTTGCATTCTTCAGGGAATTCGTCGCTGCCGTCGTCGCAGTCCCTCTCGGCATCACAAGCCCAGCTCAATGGTATACACTTGCCATTGCCACAGCGAAAATGACGAGCTGCACACTCTGGTGGACCGACTGAAAAAAGGACACAAAATGAAAAGTTTGAATCAGCCCAGTTTCTAGCATTTTTTTTCACTTCTAGTGTTTCTTACAGTCGAAAGAAATAACATAGTTTGACAACAGAAAACATGCTGGAGCATGTTGTGAGTAAAACCAATTTATCATTTATTTTATTACTTTGCTCTACGTATTTAGTTAAAAATAAAATAAAATCACTATCCTAATTTTATTCTTCTTTTAAATGTTTGATTGATTTGAATGTTATTTATTGGTATAAATATTTCATATTTCCAACCAATAGAAGGTAATATTTCAAAGGATCAAAGGATAGTGCATAATATAATGCATGATCATCAAGGTTCAAATTAATTAATGATACTTTCCGTTTTGTGAACAAATATTATATGAAGTGAAAAAAAAGATTTATTACAAATTTGTAGAGACTGTAAATTTGAAATATTTTGTAATCAGTATTTGATCAGATCTTTTTCCATTTAAGGGGTTATATGGGTTTCCTCGGGCAAAAACGGCTTTTTTCAATAATTTTTTTACATATAAAAATTAAATATTTTAATGATTTTTTTTTATTTAAAAGATACATATTTAATAAACATTTTGTAATATTGTCAAAAAAATATCAAAATGGCGGTCATTACGATGCAATTTCCGGCAGTCCCTCGGAAAAAAGTGCCTCCGCGTTGTCAGCAGAACTTCTTTGAGAATTATCCGAAATAAAAAGAAAAATACGTGTTTTAGTAAAGACAATAAACTAGGTATTGGACGAAGGAAAACAAAATAAAATGAAAATTGGATTCTTCTCAATATTTTTTTTAAATAGTTGTAATTAAAGAAAAAAAAATCCTTAGTTCAAGACCTTGTAAATGATATCTCGAAGCCCTGTGTAAAATTTCATCAATATCGCTTGAGAAGTTCGCGAGAAATCTTGACAACCGTCTTTGAAAACATAGTTTTGAGAAAAACGCGTTTAAAGTTTTAAGAGAGCCTATATCTGACCTCGAGCGTCCACCTTTTCAAGGCTGTATCTCCGAAACTTGAAAATTTAAGACAATATTCTAAATTTCGATTTTTTGAAACTGTGAAACCCATGTAACCCCTTAACAAGGGACCCTTCGGGGTACTATATGTATGCATATAAATACCTGTCACTTATAACGAAAAGACTAGCAAAAGTAACGAAAGGAGAAGGCTATAGAGTAAAGAACAATATATATCGTAAACTAAATATTTGTTTTATTCACTTTCCTGATGGTAATGGGATATTTATAATTTACAATCCACTTGATTTCTAATCAATCATAGTGATCCTCAACATTTTAAATTGTTAAAAATATAAAAGTTTTTTGAAAATTCTGGAAAACTTGGTTTTGAAAAGTTTCAGTAATTGGGAAATGTTGAATATTCTGAAACATTTGAAAAAACATTAGAAGATTTTAGAAAAATTTCAATTTTTTGTAAAATTCAAATATTTTGATTTCCTGGGTAAATCTATGAATTCTGAAAAATCAAATTAAAATCAAGTAAAGAAAAGAAAAAATGTTAAAGGAATATTATAGATATCCGCCAAAATGACCAGCCAATTCTGTCGTAAAATAGACCAATGTTATGACAAGGTTATGTTACGCTGCTTTTATCATATAAAATGGTACTAAAAACTGTTAAAATGCTATATGGTTACTGTGAGTCGGGCATTTTTAATGTAAAACCTAGCCTGGAAAACCCACAAACGCGAAAGATAGAATCTTATCGTAAGTGCATTTTTCCTAGATTTGGATTTTGACAGTTTTTACATTTTCATATATTTCATATGAAAAAACGCAGTGTAACATAGCCTTGCCATAACATTGGTCTATTTTAATAAAATTTTTGATATATTTAAAATTGTTTAATTAGTATTAATTCAAAATTCAAATAGTATAACTAATAATTGTGACGAAACTCAAAATTCAGTAAAAAAATGTACACATATTATTAAACCAACAAGTGATAATTTTATTTCATAATTAAATTTAATAAATTAATAACGTTAACAAAAAGAAATTACAACAATCAACCAATTTTTATTGATTTTTTTCATGTAATAACGAATATTAATTACTATGTAGATAAGATATTTCTTATTTCTTCCACTAATTTTCCATGTATTACTTTTCAGTATGCAAACAAAATGATAAGCGAGCAATTTTAAAGAAACACAATGCGTCATAACAACTTTTGTAACAAACATATAATTAATAAAATACTTATAAATTCAACAATTCAGTTTTAAATGCGTAAAAGATTAAATCCTGAATAAACAATATTATTGCTCCAACCTTTGTTTATACATATATTTGAATTACAATCTACCTATTATTACATGAAGGCATACAGGGGCCGATTCTGCTGTAAAATAGACCAATGTTATGGCAAGGCTATGTTACGTAGAGTTTTTTTTTCAAATATAATGGTACTAAAAAATGTAACTTCACTCATATGTTATTATGCCACATCACAAAGACGCACTTATGATCAGATTATTTTTTAGCGTTAGTGCGTTTTCTAATTGTAATTTAGGTTTTCTATCTGAAACGCCAAATCGCACAGCAACCACATAGCATTTTGTGAGTTTTTAGTACCACTTTATATGAAAAACGCTACGTAACATAGCCTTTCAATAACTTTGGTCTATTTTACGGAAGAATCGCCCCATCAGTATTCTTGTTTAGTTAATTTAATAGCTATTAGAAAGCAACCAGCTAGTTGTTTTTGCTAGTTGTGATAGATTTTAAACATATTTTATTACATTTAATTATTTTTGCAGCAATACTCCGAAAGGCAATTTTCACAACTTCCAGGAAGAAAATAAAATTAGTTGAATGAAGCCTAATGTATATATAACTTTTATATTTATTATAATATGTATCAAAAGAACACAGTTCGTTAATATCGACAAATATTCGATCGATGAAAAGGCTTTAAAAACGCACATGCTCCATATGTTTACCGTTTACGCAATAAAAATATGCCATGTTCATAAATTTGAAAGATTGATTGATTGATTGATGGAAATCAACGTTTCACTCGCATATAACTACATTATTTCCTCTTTATTCCATTATATATTTGCCTTTGCAAAAGGTATTTTTTATCATTTTTAGCATATGAAACAGAATTCTGAACACGGTAATTTTACTCAAATACTCATGTAATAATTACTTCAATTATTATGTCAGTAAATATTGTTTTTAAATGCGCCTAATGAGCGTAATGTGCCTTTAGGAAGTATATATATATATATATATATATATATATATATATATATATATATGCATATTGATGATAAAAATAAATGCTTAAAGGTCATAGTGAAGTGAAGTCTGAAATCGTACGAAAAGAAAAACAAATTTGGAATAGACGTAAATTTTGTTCAAAATATTTTAGAAACCTGAATCTGTTTTCATGTAATAATATATATAATATATGATTTACACATGAAAACAGATTCAGGTTTCAAAAATATTTTGAACAAAATTTACGTCTATATATGTTGATACATATTATGTATCAACATAATTTCTTTTATATATATACTAGATGACCCGACAGACGTTGTCTTGTATCCATGTCTACAATTCAAAATATCCAATTTTTTTAATATCCTATCCTATACTTTTTAATATCCTATTTGATGTCCTGCCTTTGTGATTCATTTATGGTCTTAGCATAAGCAGTATAAGAAATTCAGAAAAAAATAGTATCTGCGATAAAAGAATAATAACACTCTTGATTTTACCACACAACATAATTGCTTCAATAATTTAGTCTATAATTTTCATAATCTCGTACGATATATTAGTTGCTTTTAGCAATTATAATTTCGAAAGTACATCTTTCTTACTAATAATTTAATAAACATTATTGTTTATGTTCAAATCTTAGGTAAATTAATTTGTAAAATCTAGTTCGTATGAGCACTCTTCAATCTAAGATCAACTTGCTAAATATTCCATATCCAATACAAACAAAATTATAAATCTTTTTTTTTTAGTAAGTAGAAATATTTTTTGTATTGCTAAATAATTTAGTAAAGTAAACCAAAATGCGGCATGCATAAGTTTAAAAAATATTGTATATGCAATTTGAACTTATTGCGTTATTTATTTAACTGAATTATTTAATTTATCTGCCAAACAAATACCGTTGACTGTATCTTATTTTAATTTCTGGCACTTCTCAGCTGCTTTTCAGCAATAGTAATGTAGACATTACATTCTTCTTGTATATTATATTTTATTATCTAGGCTCATAATTTCAGCTAAATTCAAATTTCAAGTGAATTGATGTTTCTAGCAGATGACAGTTTAACCCTCCGTCGGTCGGCGTGGTCTGGCCAGACTTTTTTCGACTTCAATTTAAAAAAAATACTTCTAGTAATTCTATCGACTTGAAATTTCTTGACTTTTCCTAAAATTTCATTAGCTGTCGATCAATGAAAAAATTAGGACGAAAAAATGTACAGAAGGATAATTATAAGGATATTAACTTTTTTATACTTCGAACGGTCGGAGTGGTCTGTCTAGACCACCCATACATTTTGTATGAAATATACGCTTTTTGATATATGTAAAAACCAGTATTTTGTCTTTTTTCTGGTATTTTCTATTCAAACTGCATTTCATATATTCTTTGCTATGTGTTGTAACATGAATGTTAGTATTTTCACGACGAGAGTTCCTTGAAAACCTACCAAACTTATTGGTCATCGCAAATATTGAAAATCGAATGAGTAATGCGCACATTATCAACAATTTTTCTACCCGTACTGCGTTCGAAAATTTTCTTGGCAAACCTGTAGTGAAATTATATTTTCAACTTGAATTTTACAGCTCATTTCAAAGGCGACGCACCTCATTTCGTTTTCATTTGAATTTCACATTCATTTCGAAAGAGCCCAAAAAGAATAAATATTGTTTTTCATTGATATAAAACAAAAAAAATAAAAATAATAAAAAAGC